AAAAGTTTATGGCTCTGTTTAAATATTTTTCGACTTAGCGTCAATAAATTTAATGAGTAAAGAGAAAAAAAAATCAAATCGTTATAAAGAAATAATTATGGCATGTCAATATTGTAATTACATGCTAATCTAACGAATAAAGTAGAAGAAAAGTGATTATGACTGGGATCGAACCCTGCCCGGCAAAATAGAACTCTGACGCTCTAACCACATGGCCAGCATAATCTCGATATTGAGTTTATGTGTATTTGTTTTTATACTACATGCTTGGATACGCCGACTTGGAATTGATCTTTTTTATTAACATTTATACCTAATAAAAATGATAATAATAGATGAATATTTGTTGAAGTTATTTTCAGGTATTATATTAATTAATGTTAAATGAGTATCATCATTTTCATTTATTCTAACTGCAATAGTCATCAAAGTATGAGGCATTGTGAAGTGATACACTATGTTTACATGACATACATATATTAGACGTACACACTCATACACAAATTACTCACCAAAATGCAGGGCACCATCAGTTCTGGATACGGATTGAGCATTTTTTCAATATGAATGACTGAGGTCATCTGCGAGCATAATGCTGTCACCTATCAGAATTTTTTCAAACTAATTTTCCGGAGAATATCATCTGGAATACAATATTTCTAATTATTTCTAAATTATTCAATTTTATACTATGAATTGATTTTTTTGACATTCAGACAGGTAGCAAGGACTGACGCAAACACGAATTTTGGACAAAAAACGTATAAAAATAAAATAATTAGTGATTTTTCATCTAAATAATGTGGCCGCCATCTTGGAATTTAAGCGCGGCAAGTCAATTCATAATTTGTTCATTATTCTTTCTAATTTTTCTAATAAAAATATTCACTATATACAAGAAATTGTTGTTTACGTCAGTCCGGCATCAATTCCTCTGTAATTTGGTACCTAATTTTATAGAAATAATCGTAAATTGGCGAAGAAATTAGAAATTTCCCGAACCCATATATTTGGATAGGGGGAATCAGTCGCCTTTCTGACTTCAGCCCAGCCTTAAAAAAGTAAGAATTGTCAGTAACCTTCCTGCTAGTAAGTTTCTAAGTTTTCCAAAAGAGGGCGCAACAGGCACAAGCTGTAACGATCCTGGTTCAGCCAGCAACCGCCAGACGTCACTCTGTCTTCAAGGATTCTTAATTCAAAAACCGGATAGTAGCATTTTTGTTACCTGTGAGTTTATTTGTTTACATTGAAAAATAAACAATAAAAATTGAAAAATGGATAATTTATTTTATTTACTCTTGGATGGACAGCCTTATTACGTTTTAAAATTTTGAAAAAAGAAGAAAAAAATTGAATTAAAAAAAAAATTTCTCTTTTTTTATAAAAATTTATTTAAACACAATTAACTTGGCGTGGCTATCAATTATATGAACCATCTAATTAATTATCGTTTTATCTACAGCTGTAAGAGCCACGCCAAGTTAATTGTGTTTAAATAAATTTTTATAAAAAAAGAGAAATTTTTTTTTAATTCAATTTTTTTCTTCTTTTTTCAAAATTTTAAAACGTAATAAGGCTGTCAACTATCTTCATGTATTGAATGTTTTTTTTATCTTATTATAAAGAGTTTGTCTTTGATTTATGTAGAAAATTACATAATAATTTAACGAAAATTAAAAAACATTTCTATTTTATTTTATTAAATATCATTAATCTTTATGTTTAAATACTTGGCTGCAATGATTTCATGCATTTTTGTAGTTGTTCGCATAAAGAAGTTTTATAGAAATCGCACTTGATGAACGATGATTATCGTCTTCGTTATTCATACTTGGCGCGTATTTTTGTGAAGTCCGTTAGGGCTGTTTTTGGTGTGATTTCACGATTTTTTGTACAACAAACGGAATATGTATCATTCGACTCCGTTACTACGACATGGAATTTTAGAACAGACATCACTATCTGTGTATAGATAGTACAGTACCAGACATAAATGCTGTTCAATTTTTTAAGGGTTCTACAGGCGATTTTCCTATACCGTCCTATAGAAAATCACACAGCATTTATGTCCGGTACTGTATAATAGTCTTCAGTCTGGTAGTATTTAACTATCAACTCAATAAAAAAAAAATTGTTATCTCTTACCGATCTTAAGATATAAACAAAATTATTGATTGAAGGACATGAATTAGTTTTCAAAAAACGTAAAACGATTTTTTTTAAAACGTAAAACCATCGGTTATACATTCTATGTATTACCTATCAACTTAAAATGTACATAAATATTTGTCGTTTTCGATACCGAAAAACTCGGTCGGCATAATACGGACACGGCATAATGACAGCGCGGAATGTACGATCGATCGTCGTGCATAACATCCACGCAGGTTCAGAATTAGAAGCGGCACCTTAAATTTTCCGGCATATTAGATTTTTGCGCCTTTTCTGATTTTAACTTATAAAATCTAAAAAGTAATAAGTGAGGAGATGTAAGTAAAATAATTAGTGCAATAATTCATATGAACACATAAATTTTAGTTCTATTCTTTGAATTTTTCCTCCTCTCTTTTTCTTCAATTTAGTAGGATACAATTTCTCTTCTATTGCATTCCTACCATCAACTTTTTTCATGAGAATTTCCTACAAATAAAAGAAAAGAAATACTTATTATGTTCAATTTTTAATTATTGTGATGAAATGCAAAAAATAGATTAGCTACCTTACTTATCATTTATGAGTCACTTAATTTTTCGTTAAACATTATAAAATAAATAACAATCTCTAGACTTTGTACACTTTGGTTTTCTTTAGGGGGAAATTGACCGTTCAGAATGAAGTCGTAAGTAGACAGAAGATTCATGCTGCATTCACATGAGAGTGAATCAAAAGTCAACAGAATAACTATTTGAATTCTTCTGTAAATCTATATTTAGAATTTTCCCAAAAACTCAATTCAAATAAAAAGTAATTTTGAAAAAAATTATTAATAATTTTAACACAATTCTAACTGTTGCGTCTTTAATGCCTTATACTATTGTACTGGAGCGACATTTGTACCAGTACTATACTGTCCTGAACATTTTGGTCATATAACATTTGTGCCCCTTTCGAAATGTGCTAGTAGTAAATTTACAATGTTGGTGGAGTAGAAACAGTTTCAACCGTTCATTGTGTTTATTTATTCAATGATCCTCTAGTACATGTATTTATTGGATATCAAGTATATTCATTATGATTAGTAGAATATTCATTGATTATTTTTTTTATTTATTTACCAAAAAAAGTATATATTTTAATTTATCTGTACCTCAAAATTATGAAAAATTCAAAAAAACATGAAAACATGATTTTAAATCTATTTAATTTTCTCCTAATATTTTTAATAATTTGTCGAACCCTTTTCTTTTCTTTTCCAACTTCTCTTCTTCTTCTTTTTTTCTTTTTGATGTGTAATATCTGGAACAAGACATTGAACTATAAAATGACAATGTTCATTTGGTTGTACTTTACTTCATTGTTATTGCAATAAAATGACCCTTACATTTTGTTTCGCAGCTTGAGATTTTTCCCACACTACCTCTTTTTTTTTTCTTTGTAGAAACATCTATTTTAATTTTTTGTATCGTTTGTTCATCTTTTAGTAAATTTTGTGTTCTTGTTTCGATGACCTGTAAATTGAATTTTATTAAAAAGTATTCAGAAAATCAATCACACCGATTTTTTAATATCTCTGTACAGTCACAACTATTGACAGATAAATAAAATATCTTCGTCTGACAATTTATGATTAATTTACCGCTACTATCAACTACCGTACTTACTTGATTTATGTATAGGTACGTTTGACAGAAAGGAGCATTCAACACGCTCACCAGCGCTGAAAGAACATTTATTGAAAGATGGTTGTTTTATTTGAGTAATAGGTACACGGTATATCCCCGATTGATACACTCTCCAAAACTTTATTACTTTTTATTAATTTTTTGTACCAAAAAAAATTTACATTCATAATTTGGCGCCTCAGTAATTCTTTCGTTTTTTACCAACATAATATTTTCCATAGTCATGCAGCAACTTCATGGTAGTATCAACTTTATAAAAAAAAGTCGTACTTTTAAGGAAAAAGATTCTTTTTACTTAAAATGCGGTACAAGGGGCGTGGCCAATTTTTATTTTTGCAAATAAATGATTTTCAGGGCACAATAGAAATTGCAATTTATTGTCGTAGCTAATCAATGGGGTTTTCAAAGATTTTTTAATAAAGTTTATGTCATTATTGCAGAGAAATTAGAAATTTAAAGGAGCATAACCTCAAAAGTGCTAATTTGAGCGGAATAGAGACACGGTAGTGCCTTCGTCACCGCTATTCATACTTGGCGCTCGAGACACTACTAAAATAAACGTGTCTCTTGATAAGGAAATCGCATGTATAACCTTCAAAAAATTGAACAGCATTGTGTGCGCGTCATTATGATATTAACGCCATTTCAAGAAAGAAATTAACAAATTTATTTTCAAATGATAAGTATATACATATGCAACCACTTTTTACTGTATTACGTTTTCATGCATTCTCATTCTGATTTCATACATAAAAAAAGAAAAGACAATAAGTTCACCACAGTTATATGTTTAACGTCCGCATTATTCACTTTATATCAACTTAAATAAATAACAAATATGAGTGAAGTTTCTTTTGAAGGAAAATCTTTTAAAACGTACAATGAGTTGATGAAATTCAAAGAGTTATATGAAGAACATCATAATTGTTCGCTGAAAGTTGGATCATCAAAATATTTGACAAACGTATTCAAAGATAGCAATGCAGAATATAATCCAGAATTAAAATATTATGAAGTCTATTATGAATGTGGTATTCTTAGTTTTTTTCAAGGAAGTGTAAAAATAAATAAGAGAAAGTAAGTTTAATTTTTGACATTTTACAAACTCCACTTTACTTTAATGACAATGAGAGAAATATTTTTGGTGAAATTTGCAGAAAAAAAGTAAACGGGTGTCCATTTCGAGTCATCATCAGGTTTTGCGTTGACAAAAATGAACTGCAAGTCAGGGGCATATACGTATAACGAGCAAATACACACGGTAAATATTTATACTAAAGAGAAATGCATAAATATATTGAAATAATTATCAATGGATAGTTATTATTTAAATGATTTAGCTGCACATAAATGCTCCAATAAATTTTTGTAGTCTCCTGAATTCATCACACAAGTTTTTGACTTACAGGCTTTTTTTACTAAGGTAAACCGCCCTATTTCCGGACACCTACCTAATTCCGGACAGTCGTTATTTTTGTTAATATAAAGCAATAGTTTACTTATAACCGAGAAAATATTGATGTAATTATGTATTTTCATCTATATACTTTCTTATCCTGTTACGAAATTTCAAAATTAAATATTTTTTATTTATAAAAAAAAATAATTTCGGTCAGAAAGTTCCCTGATGTTATCCATGGAACGCTCGTTTGCTTAAAATCAGTATTATAGTAAATTGCGAATATTTTTCCTTTCAAGCGATTTGTAAAGGATATGTTAGTTGCTACTTCATCTCTGTCCTTTTATTTCGTGAATAACCACTCATGTTTTAAATTTTTAACAATATTGCTCTTCAAAAAAATTTAAATATCGTGTCCGGAATTAGACAATATAGGATTTACAAATTTTTCCAATTCCGGACAGTTGTCCGGAATTAGAGTATTACGGATAACATGACACTCTCAATTCCGGCCAGACAGTTTATGACGCATAAATAGGCTTGTTACGCCCGAAGACAGCTTATTATTGGTAAAATAGTATTTTCAATTGCATCTAGACTATTTTTTTAGAAATTTTCCTGCATATTCGGTAGTGAAGCCGTTAATTTTCCAAGTCTAGGCAGTTCCCTAAATTCAGAAAGTTTCCATATTCCGGACAGTTTTTTACCTAAGAGACTGTGCTGTACTTGTTTAATGTGTTACATTTCATTTTTTGTTTCATGAGTTGATTACATTACCAATCAACATGAAGATTTTTCCCCACGACCGAAATTTAAACCTTATTTCCTTTCGACGAAAACAACATTGATTTCACCTGGAATAATTATCGGTACATTTGATAATATAGTGAAAGTAAAAACGATGACTATGAGTGGCAACAATTGGAAGCGGCCTGATCGGGACGATATTTGTAATTATGAGAAAGAAAATGTGGTATTAGATATCTCAGCTCCAGAGATAATTAACAGTAGGGGAATATATGAAGTGCCAGAATTAATACATATTAAACAGAAGTTGTTAAGTAAAACACAATAAGATTTGTATTTCTATTTTTATATTTACCTTAAACTGTAATAATTTATATATATTTTATTTTTTGGAACAATTCTATTTTTGTTAAATAATTAAATAAATTATTTTTCTATGCAAAAGATGTTATTAAATTTTCTGTCTAAGAGTGAAGTCCTAAATTTTCAAATAAAAATATTTGATAAAACTTCGGGTTCAGATAGGCCGGAATTAGGGATATAAGTTCGTGGTCAATGGCACTAACATAAATTTTTATTGAAAAATATTTAGATATGAATAAAAAATATTTTGATGATTGATTAATAATCGCCAAATATTAAAGTTAATAATAGCACGTTTTATTTTGTAAATTGATAATTTAATACTTTTATATTATTAAAATGAATGTGATGTAGCTTAAGTGTCCGGAATTAGGGCAGTTTACCTTATTATCTATTGTATGTTTAATCTAATCAGAAGAAAATTTAGATTCTTTCATTAAATTCAATTATTATAAGCTATTTTCGAATTAAATAATATGTTAATGATATTATACAAAATTATTTTAGCTAGAAATGTCGTCATTCTATGAAGTAAAGTATTTTTCCATCACTTAGATTTCCTTTTAATTGTAAACTAGTTGACTTTTAAACAATTACATGCTTAAAATATACATAAATAATTAAAATGTTACAGTTTCTATTATTTTAATGTGTCGATATAAAACATAAATATCTGATCATTAAATGCTGAATTGAAATTTTATATAATTGAAGGTAACTACACTTGACAAAGGCAGCAATCATCATTCTATAAACATAGGAAACAGCAAATTTCAAAAAGATCATCTCTTGAAGAGAGTAAATGAATTGAAAAATGACATTTTAAAGATAGAAAACCATGAAGACAGACAAGAATTATTTGAATATATAGAAGAGATACTTGTAGAAAATAAAAGATCTGAAAATAATAATGATCATGATATTAATATTAATAAAAATGATGAAGAGTTTTTAGAAGAAAAAAGCGATGAAAGTTTACATTTTTCAGATTCAATATTAGAATCTGTATACTCGGCATCTAATGAGATTAATGAGAAAGAAGAGGAAGAAGGCGTAATAGCGGAGAGGAACGAACAAGACATAAATAAAATACCCACGAGAAAAAAACAAAGAAGAAAATGAAAATTGTATACCAAGGATAGAGATATGCAATTCAGATAAAATAGACACAAATTGAAAATTTAAGATTTGACATCACTTCGACACATCGACGTGAAAAGGGAAAGGAGCTTACTGTTATAGGACTTTAAAAAAAAATAAAATAGAAACACCGCAGCTAAACATCCAAAAACATCAGAAAGAATACATAGAAAAGAATCTCAAGACAAATGCGGTTTCTCTTCAAGAAAAACAAAATCTTTCAAAATTACCGCTACCGGACATGCAAGATCATGAGAAAAAATCGAAAGAAAAAGTACTAGCAGTGCAAAATCTTCGAATGAGAAAAAATGAACCAGAAAAACTATTACCAGATACAGAGAAAAATAAAAAAGATGGATTTAAATTTGTGAAATTCACAAAGTTAAGCAAAATTAAAAAGCAGTCATTAATATTAGAATGGATTTTTCCAAAGAATAAAACAAAAGAAATCGTCGAAAATAAGAAGATTATTAATATTAAAGATATTTCACATATAATACCGAAGACTTTAGGTGATAACATCGCAAGTTGTGAGGAATTGGAATTGATTAAACAATAAGTGTAAAAAACAATTGATCACTGAGAGTATTTGATGTAACGGATGTCTGCTTTGGTACGAGCAACAATGTGTTTCATTGAAGAAGGTACCAAAAGGTGATTGGTTTTGTGCTAATTGCCTTTAAGATATTCTACTTCTATTTCTGTTTACATAAAAAATGGCAAAGCATCGCTTCAATTCAATTCTATACTCAATTTCAATACTTAATAACTCTTCAAATTAAGTGAGACATACATTGTAGTCTGATTTGAATACGATACTGATCGTTCTTATGTTTCTATTAAGTTAGTTTTTTTAAATTACTTAGTGATTAGATTTATCATACTGGAGTTATTCACTGGGATGGATGATACAGCAGCAGAGAGAATATTCAATCAAAACAAAATAATCTAATTAGAAGAGCTTAAAATCCCTTGTAGCGCCGATTCGTTTGTAAAAACTATAAAATTGTTGATATGAAATTGAAAGGACTTCAGGATTTTACATTAATTTACAAATCAAACTACATCAAATTACATTTTTTGTCGTCAAAGCGACAAAATTTAATGAAAAATAGTTTCAAAGAAGATATTTGTTTTTTGCATTGTTTGAACATTTGTTCTGTGATTTTTTTCCAAAAGTAATCGATTACTATTCTGTTAAGTTTCTAAGTGTTTACAAATTTTTGGTGTATCATGAATGACTGATTTCTAATTAGTCTAACATTCATGTGTATTTTTTGATCTTGACGTTGATTTTACCAAAAAATAAACTTTTTAATACCTTAGTGATCCAGTAAATGTTGATTACTTCTAAATAAATCTTAATTTGCTTAGTATTGATTTATAGATATATTTAAAAGAAAAATATTTGAACTTTAATTTTACAAATATAACAATGATTATTGACGGGAAACTTTACTAATCGTAGAACGTTGAAAAATAATTCAATATTTCTCAAGTATTAAATTGAATGCTATTAAAATTTTCAAAAACAAAATCAATACTACTGAAAATTTGTTCTTGAGGAGTGAATAAACAGATTAATAAAAAAATGTAACCGATGAATTAATTCTGGTTGAAACGATAAAACGTGATTCTTATATATTTGTAAAATTTTCATAACGTGATATTTTCATTGCTTTCTAAGCAATTTACAAGTTGAGACTTTCAATTTAATTGTTAAAAATTCTTTGAAAAGCTCGTATATGTTTTAATCATATACAACATAAATCCCTCCTTTAGGAAATTTTATTTAATAGATACCATAAATGAGAGACTTTACTCTTGTTAAAAAATCTCAGAATGTCATTAATTACTTAAAATCAAAGTTTGCTCTACAGAATTTCGAAATCCATATCTTCTAAATGGCGGACGTTTATTTTGTCTTTCACTTTCAAAGTCCTAAAATTAACTATATCGATTTTTATGTTTATTTCTAGTTTCTCTATAATTACTAAATAGAAATAAAGTTGCAAAACAAGAAAATAATAATTTTCTACTATAAGTAATTTTTTGTATCAATCGGAGATAAAATATACAGTGCCAGCCACTTGAATAGCCTCACCCAATATTTTAAATGTTTTTGTTTAAAATCATGATGTTACATTGTTACATTAACACCATTCTTTTATTTTTAATAAAATGATGAAGCTAAGACTACAATTTTTTAACTAATATATTTAGTATAAGGTTTTCGTTAAGAGTCTGTTTCAAGTACTCTCATGTTTACTTAAATATTGGTTTACATTCATCTGTTGATACTTTTATTACTTTCATGATGATTGTACCAGCACATGAGTCTATGATCGACGCATAATCAGGACAAAGAAAGAGATGTTTGGTTTTCAATCAAAGATATCTTAAAGAAAAATGAGTCAGTCTTTCAAAAGGTTCCAACGAGTGCACTGTGTCGTTTCGTTGTAATTAAATACATTTCTGGTGTGGTCAATCCAAATTGGAATTAAGCCTCTGATTTTCTTTTTCATTGGTATTTGGTCAATTACAATAAGTCATATTGCTGTATTCAATCTTTAACTAAGTTGTGAGTCAAGTTTATTATTGTTTGGATCAAGCCCAGCCTTGATTCTTCTTATGTTACTAGATCAATTGCGTATAAGTCACATTCTTGAGGAAGTTAAGATGGTCTTTCACGAAATTATACACGATTTCTGCTGACTTATACCTTGATCTATATCTACAATTGATTAAAAATGAGACATAACTACGTAAACAGCCACATTCTCAAGTGCTGAGATTTTCTCAAATCTCAATGATTTCCAGAGAGGAACATCTGCTGGCTAAACTGGTTGATATGAGACATTCTAGAAGATCAAGTTTTGTTATTGAATTTCAATTAGCAATCAAGTGAGTCTCTGATCACATGTCTATTGGAAGATTCAGCATGAATCTTCACGAAGTTTCTTTTACACTTCTGCTGACAGAACCACTTGATTCAATTCTAATAAAGTTTGATTAAAAATGTTGATTCAATGTTGTGTCTAATTACGGGCATACGTTTCACTCTCTGAGAAAATACCAATTCATATTTTCTTTCAGGATTTAACAGCTTCAACCTCTTAATTATCGTTCAACACTGGTCTGCGATCACCTCGACGTGTAACCAGCTCTCTACATTCTACGTTATTTTAGATCAGCTATTTTAATTCCAGTTATTAACACCTAATTCAAAATTTGCTAATAAATAAGTTTAAATAATTTTAATTAAAATTTCTCTTATTCTTTTTTTTCCATTTGATTAATTAACTTTCAAACATATTAAGCAATTTAAACCATATTAATTCTCTTTTAATCAGTTTTATGAAAACAAATATAATTTTGAATAGCCAAACATATTTTTTGAATTACACTACTTGTCCTTGTATTGATGACACATAAACAAGTACTAACGCGTTTACGCAGCAAGCGACAAGTACGCGCCGCCTTCTGCGACCCGTACACATGAAAGGCCTCAGTTTAACAAAGTCACTCAAATGAAAAGTTTTCAATTTTATATTTAATTTGTTTTTGAATAGTTTGCTATTACAGTATTGTGTTTTGCTGACGACTCTCTTTAAGCTACATAAAGTATGTTAATTTGAACATGGGACGCGGTAAAAAGCTCACGAGTTTAGAAATTGAAAAAATTAACTTTTATATATCTCAAAATTTATCCAATCGTGAAATAGCCAAAAAAAAACGGTCGAAGCCCTAAAGTGATTAATAATTACGGGAAAAATAAAGAAAATTATGGCCAAAAGTATAAAGGACGTACAAATTTTGCCACGACAGAACGTGAACGTCGACTTATAATACGCGCTGCTTCAAATTCAATTAAGACCGCCAGGCAAATAGCAAGTGAAATAAATACTAGAGCATCTCTATCTACAGTTTGACGAATCATCAGGACGACACCTTGCCTAAAACGAAAGAAAATAATAAGTAAACCTCCCTTGCGTGATCACCATGTAGCAGCCCGACTGTTTTTCGCTAAAAAGTATATGTGCTGGACAACGGAGTGGCAAAATGTGATTTTCAGTGACGAGAAAAAGTTTAATTTAGATGGTCCAGATGGATTTAAATATTATTCTCACGACCTAAGAAAAGAAACGGAAGTGTTATCACGTCGTCACTCAACGGCTGGTTCAGTTATGGTTTGGGGTGCAATTTCCTATAATGGTCCTATTGATCTAGTTGTGATAAATGGGAGGCAAAATGCTGAAAATTATTTATGTATGTTGAAACAAGTAAAAAACAAGATTTATAAAGTTACAGGCCGTCGAAAGTTTATATTTCAGCACGATAACGCTTCCATACATACTTCATGCAATGTAACAAAGTGGTTTAAAGAAAGTAATATACAAATTTTAGACTGGCCATCATTGTCTCCAGACCTAAATATTATCGAGAATGTCTCGGCAAGTCTATGCAAACGGACGACAGTTTAACAATAGAAATGAACTGATTCAAGCTATTCATACTGTTTGGGATACTATGGACGTTAATTACGTACATTCTTTGTATGAATCGATACCTAATCGTATTTTTGAAGTGATAAGGTCTAATAGAAAGTCAACTAAATATTGTAAAATATTTGTATGTCGCCATCTAATGACTATTAGACTAACGACAGTTTGTTAGTTAACGACGATTGCTTGACGATTAGATTGTTTATAGCAACGAGGGGAGAGTTTGTTTATCTCCAGTTTTTGACTGTGACTTGAGTTGACCGCACGGATTCTTTCTTTTAATTAATTGCTGTCAATTATTAATAAACATTTTTATTTATTTACTAATTTTCCGAAGTTGTTATTGAGTCTTATTTTACATTGGTGTCAGAAAGTGGTTCGTTTCGCGTGCCGTGAATATTTTTTTGTTGGTGATTTTTAGAAGAATATTTAAAAATCATGCCAAAGAGTCCAAGTCGGAGACAAACTCGAGCTGGAAGGAGAACTCAATATGCCGATTGTGTCGAAGACGGTAGTAATGGAGGACTTCTAGCTTTAGAGATGAGATTAAATCGTTAGGATTATGGAAATTCATAATTTAGAAAAAAATTCTAATAATTTGGTTGAATCGGTCTCAACTTCTTCGGTTAATAATAGTTATTTAGCTTTTGCATAACCGGGAAAATGTGATGGTTTTCAGACGTGGGAATCTTATTGCCGTCAATTTGAGACTATCGCTCGTCTGCATAAGTGGACAAATGAAGTTAAAGCATCGATTTAAGTGTCCTGTTTGAAGGACAAAGCTCAAGTCATTTTAGAA